GTCCGCGTGGGTGTCTCAACTCCCGTTGAGGCCCGAACGGATCGACGTGGAGAATGGCAACATGTCGTCTTTACGGACCGAGTTTGCCCAGCAACGAGGCTACGCCTATGACGAAGACCCCCGGGCTTACTTTGATCTCCTTTTGGAGGAAGACGACCTGGAAGATCGGGAAAGGGGTTATGTCAACTTTGCCCGTTGGATCCTCGGCGCGCCAGGTGAGACACACGGAGAGAGAGAGAGAGCTGAGAGCATGGTCCGCTGACCATCAGCAATGCTTCCACGCAACCTCTTGCCCTTGGCCACGGACGACGGTCTATTCCACGCCAACTCGCGACTGCTCGCTCACGCCCACGACACTGACAAGTATCTCGCTGCGGACGCGCTGACGTTCAAGTCGCCCCCCGCATTGCACTTCAAGCAGTGGATGGTCGACGGCGGTTTGATCGAGGCGGCGAGTGATGGGGACGATGCGTGCGAGGAGCATGAGCAGGATGAGGACCCAGCGGGGGGCAACGATAAGGATGAGTGGCACGCGAGCGAGCACGAGGCGAGCGAGGCATCCACCGAGGAGCCAGCGGGGGACAAAGAAGAGGGAGAGTGGCACCAGCGCAAGCCGAGAGATACATCGCAAGGGACGACTGAACGACTCGGACAAGATCAAGACTTCAAGATCCTCACGAGCATGGGCCGGACAAGAAGATGGACCTCGAGTGAACCGCGGTGAAACTGACTGGGTTGCGCGCCACTCCGCTGTTCTGACGACTTGCCCCTGCCACTGACGTCGCGCCGTGCCCACTTGTCATTTAGACGTCGTGTTGTCATCCAGACGTCGTGTTGTCGTGTTGTCATTTAGACATCGTGTTGTCCTTTAGGTTCATGCCGTGTACGTATCGCCATGCACATGTTCACAGACTCGATCTGCTTCGCATGCTTTGATAACAGAAGGTTTTTGCCAAGCAAGGGGTACATAACGACGTCTCCGCCACACTCGACCATGTGATGTGCCACAATTGAATAGGAACAATCTTTGATGGGACCTGGCAATTAGATGTACACAGACAGACTCGCAGGGCTCTGGATCGGTGGGGTGGGGGGTGGCCCACCTCCCCCCGACGCGATTCACTCTGCACCATACGTTGTATTGAAACGACACGACTCTTCTTCTCTACAGCTCGACAGGAAATCACTCCTGGACTCGGTCCCAGAGCAGAGCACACCAGCAGTGGCACCATCGCCCAGTCGTGGTTGTTCTCCAGCGCCGTCCCCGCCTACCCATCCTCACTCCCTCCCTCCACGTCATCCCCTCGTCAGCCAGGCTGTCCCTTGGCCCGCCGTCGAGACGCTGTAAGTCCCGCCGTTCTTTCCTCCTGAGCGTGAAATCACTCGACAGACCTCGTCCTGGACCATGCTGACCCACTGCCAAAAGCAGAGAGCCATAGCTGTCCTCCTCGCCGCGATAGACCCATACCCCCTCTCTGGCCTCGTCAGTATCCCCAACCGCCCTCCTCTGACCGAGACGCTGTAAGTCCCGCCGTTCCTTCCTCCTGAGCGTGAAATCACTCGACAGACCTCGTCCTGGACCATGCTGACCCAATGCCAAAAGCAGAGACCCATAGCTCTTCGCGTCGCCGAGGTATCACCGTCCCCACCTCCAGCCTTCTGGGGTACAAGATCCTCCCGCCAAACAGTCGAGTAGCTGTAAGTCCCTCCATTCTTTCCTTCTGAGCGTGAAATCACTCGACACACCTCGCCCAGGACCATGCTGACCCACTGCCAAAAGCACAGACCCATAGCTGTCCCCGTCGCCGAGCTACCCTTCCCTCCCCCTCTGTGCCGACCCCAGCACCAACTCCCGTCCCTCGGCTGTAAGTTCCAATGTTCCCTCTCTTTCAGCCGGAGAAGCGCTTCACACAGCTCGTTACGGACCACGCTGAACCGCTGTAGCAGCGCCACGCCCCAAGTATGGGCGATTCGTCACTCCCTCCTCTGGCCCCAGGCCGCCCAACCTTTTCGCCGTCGTGAGTACAGCCACATCGCATTGTCAGAGACTCGTCGGCACGCGCTGCACTGGACATGACTGACTCAAACGCAGACACACCGCCACTCCGCCATGCCCTCCTCGTTCTCCAACAAGAAGCGCGACGCGGAGGCGTTGGCTTTTTTTGAGTGTGAGTGATCCTCTCGTTGAGTGCGGTGTGACGACGCCCATGGTCGTGGCAAGGTGTGGCGGCGGTGTCTCCTAAAGACGTACGGCACGCCGCCGAAGAAGGACTACAGGATCCCGAGGATGAGTGCGGACAGCACATCCAGAGAGAGTATCATGTATTGTGTGCCGAGCAGGACTGCGCGGGTTGCCTAGGGACTCACAGCTTGGCGACAGTCACCGCAGAATCGTGCTGACCCATCGCTAGCGTACAGCGCAGAGCTCGCGTCGAGAAAGCGCTCCAAGCCCCACCAGGGCTCGACTCACAATCCAGTCGTCATTGACTCGCCGCCCCGCCCCACCACCCCAGCGCCAGCCACCAAGTCCCCGCTCGAAGACGTGGACGTCAACTCGCCCGAGAGGGCCAAGATCGATCGGTCCGACAACGATGGCTACGAATCGGCTTCCCAGGCCTCGCCGATCGTTTACCGGCGTATCAAACCTAAACCCGTCCGTCGCATCGCGTCCCCCTCTCCCGACCCCGCCCGCCCGCCCGGCGACACCCCGTCTGGGTCCACGTCGGCGACGAGGGTGGTCTCCTCTTCCGTCCCAGCGAGCAGCGGGCTCGTCGAAGCCGATTACTGGTCTACCGAGCCGATTTCGGAGACACTGTCCAAGGGCGAACTCCTCCGCATGCTCCGTGTCCTAGATCGAGCCAGGGTCGCCCTACACGACAAGCTTCCAAATCTGGATGACGTTCAGCGCGAAGCCACCGAAGTCATCGGCCACAACGAGCTCGTCAAACTCTTCAGCATGGGTTTCGTTTCCAGAAAAGCCTTCGACTCGCTCCGTCTTACCAGCTACCTGACTCCCGAAGCTCTCGCGGATGCACACATCGTGGAGGTGAAAGGTGACCCCACTGAACTTGGAATCTATGAAGATACCGGTAAAGTGGGGGAGCCCTTCCGGGGACAGCACGCCGGCTACACGGGGAGCGGCTCGGGGACGCAGTTGCGACGTAGTGTTGGGGGTGTTCGGTTGGCTGGTGTGCGCGCGAGGGTGCGAGGAGAGCACGAGAACGAGGACTACCGCCAGAAGAACCCCTGTCCGCACTACGCCCTCGGGTACGATGACAGCGGCGAGCCCCACCTCTACCTTTGGTGGTGGCGGATGGCAGCGGCGCGCTACGAGGCGTGGCTGCGGACTTTCTTCCCCGACGCTACGAAGGAGCGCTTCCAGGTGCTGAGGGTGGCCGTGACGAACATCCTTGAGGCTCTGTTCATTCAGATGCTAGGGCGTTACAAGATGAAGATCATCGACAAGATCAAAGTGGAGGAGGGGGTCCCGGTCATCAGCACCCCCTATCAGGGCCTCAACCGAGCCACAGCACTTGCCAAATCTGGCGAGTTCATCACCCCCGAGACGAGCTTCCCGATGAGAGAGAAGGGACGCTATGCTATGGCAAAGAAGAGGGGCTTCAAATATGAGACCGGCGATAAATGGAATCAAAATCAGTACAACATCGAGAACTCCGGCGGGTCATACCCAGGGCTGCCCCAGGCGAAGTACCTGGTCTTCAAAGGGGCAGCAATCCGTGCTTGGATTGCGGGTACGCGGCAGGTGAGTGTATCCATACGAGTCCCGCTAAATCTCTTAGTTAAAGATAAACAGCCGGTCGTTGAGCGTCTGGATTCAAGTCACCAGCTCCAAGTCCACCCTACAACAGGCTGCTGCTGCTTTCCCTCTCCCTCTCGCGCCTGGCCAGGCACTCCCGACAAGCAAGTTCACCCTGTACTTGCCTTATGGCGCGCATCAATATCTCGAGGAGGGAAAGGCATACAACTGGCGAATCCGGGAGCACGAGCCGGATTTCTCGCCTGACACGATGCGTATGGAGGTGTCGCGCGGAAAGAATCTGCTGTATTCATTCGGTAAGCAAGAGTATCTGGATTCAGACGCGAGGCGTCTCGCCGACGCCCTCCAATTCGGCCGGACCCCCTCGCATTTGACTTCGATTCAAGCCTGGACGTTGCTCTGCACGATATTAAAGATCTATGCTGAAGTGAGTGAACGTGTGACTGGGTGAATCTGTGCTGAAGCGGAACAGGAGGGTCCCGCCAAATAACGCATTGCATTTCGAGATTTGTGGCTTAGGACAGAAGTTATGGCGAACGGCCACCAAAACACTCATGATCCCGTATGGCAGTATGACAGATCGTACAGTAGTCTTCACATCAGCGCATGTACCGAGGTTCCCATGTCCACGTCTTGACGCGCTCAACGGTTGTGCTGAGGCGACCACGCGTGGTGTACTGCCATGCTTCGTTGGACATGGTGGGTGCTCCGGGTTCAGGAAGTTAAGATCTACAGTCTGAAAGGTGGGAAAAGACCTGGGACGGGATCAAATCGGCGGAAGCAGTTTGCAGGGTGATCGGATCGGTATGCGGATGTGTGGTAGACCCGCTATTCGCGACCACACTTCAGTCGATTCTCGCATAGAGATCCCTCTATTCATATCGCCTCCCGCTCAAATGGGTAGACCATACAGACGGTTGCGTCTCCAAGACAGCAGAAATCAGTAGGGAACCCGCGTCAAGCAGGCAATTGGGTTGGCAACGAGCAGGGAGTCCTATTTCCATCCGCTCCCGTGTCCCTCCCTTCCTGCTCTGCTGCCGACAAACCGTCTATACATCGGTGTGCCTTATCGAGTACAAACAGACAAGCGAGGCATAATGTTAGGCAGCGTATTCATGATGCGGAGGCACAGAGAGGTACTTGGAGTTGTGCCAGACAGCCGTGAGCCGGGTATACGTTTCCTTCATGAGTTTGTAAAACCCACGTTTCCATCGTATTCAGTGGCCAGGTGGCGGAGTGGTTAACGCGATTGACTCGAAGAGTAACAATTCGTGATCAATTTCCTTCGGGAGCACATGTTCGAGTCATGTCCTGGTCGTTTCTTTTGTTGTGGTAGACAAGAATCCGACTTTTTGCGACTCAGTCGGGACATGGTTCAGAGCCTAGTGACCCCGTTGTCTTCCCTGTGCCTGATGGTGGCAGTGGCAGTTCTGCACGAGCTGTACTCGCCGTAGAACGTGCCGACGATCACTCCACTAGGCTGCGTGGGGATTGACCGGGAGGAAAAAGCCTTTGACGGTTGAGGAGGGCAACATGAGGGGGCCCGACAGTGTTGTGTCGTATGATGTCACCGAGGACGCAATCAAGTGGACTGAAGGTCCAGTGTGCTACTACTAGACCTTTAGAAGTCCTACACGCCAGCACGACCAGTCGAGTTTATGCAAAATGCAGGACAATCCACCGGTTCGAGACAGTTAAAATTCTTCAACTATTGCGGTGACGAGGTGAGGGTGTGCCACTCCGCCACTCCACACCCCGCGGCGATCGCCGCCACCTCCGCCGCAGATTACCACCACCTCATGCACCTACTGAATCTTCTGAATTCGCACTTTGCTTACATCCCCGGACAACCCAACCACACCAAGCATGCGGTACGCAGTCCTGGTGACGGGCCCAGCGGGTGCTGGCAAGTCAACATTCTGCGCCTCGCTCATCACCCACGCCCAGACACTGGGCCGGTCGGTCCACCTCTTCAACCTGGACCCGGCGGCGGAGCGGTTCGAGTACGAGCCGACAATAGACATACGAGATCTCATCAACCTGCAGGATGTGATGGAGGAGCTGGAGTTTGGGCCGAATGGGGGGTTGATATATTGCTTTGAGTGAGTGGGCGCGGTTGACTCGGGCTGAGTCGCAGATACCTCCTGAACAACCTCGATTGGCTAGACGACGAGCTGGGCTCATACGAGGACGACTACCTCATCATCGACTGTCCCGGCCAGATCGAGCTGTACACTCACATCCCCCTACTCCCTCGCCTCGCATCACACCTCTCGACCCAGCTCAACTTCCGCACATCCGCGACGTACCTCATCGACTCGCAGTTCATGCAGGACAAGTCAAAGTTCTTTGCCGGGGTCATGTCCGCCATGTCGTGCATGCTGGCACTGGGGATCAGCATGCTGTGCGTGATGAGCAAGATGGATCTGGTGAAGGACGAGAAGGGTCGGACGAAGAGGGAGGTGGGGAGGTATCTCGATCCGGATCCGGCGTTGTTGCTCGAGGACGTGAACTCGACTACGAACCCCAAGTTTCACGCGTTGAACCAGGCGGTGGTGGGATTAGTGAGTGACTCGGAAACATGGAGCTGATTCCCAGATCGAGGACCAGAACATCGTCTCGTTCCTTCCTCTCGATGTGACGTCGGAGGACTCGGTGAATACGATTCTGAGCCATATCGACAACATGATGCAGTACGGCGAGGACGAGGAGCCAAAGGTGGGTCCGAGGGCGGGGTCTCGCTGACGACAGATACCCAAGGACATGGACGAGGGGGATTTCGACGCGGAATGATGCATGTACAATAACGACAGGATAATACTGTGACAGAGCCACTCATGACAACGCTGCGCGATTCGATGCTTTGCAAGGGGCTGCTCGGTGCGGTATCGCTCGTACGGCACCTCGCAGGTTGCCGACCGGAGTGTCCGTCTCAACTCACAAGGCCGCACGACTCGCATGCTTCGCGAGGAGCCTCTCGGTGCGGTATCGCTCATACAGCACCTCGCTAGTCGTCGACCGGAAAGTCTGGTCTCAGCTAAGCGCTCGAATTGTACTCACCCTCGCTTCAAGCAGAATGGTCTCGCGCAGGGCGACAAAGTCGCTTGTGTTGGGGTCCATCACGTCGGCTTGACCCCACGGGAACTGACGCACGAATCGTCCCGGGACTTCGGGATTGAACACGGCGTGGATCGCCTGCGTGATCGGTCTCGAAGCGGTTGAGACTGGTGAAAGCGGCTCGTCGATCGTCTCGTTGTCAGCACAGCTCACCGACTCACACACCTCAGGCTCTTCGTCTATCGATCCGAACACGTCATTCAACGCCTCGCCCAGCTCGTGTCGGAGGACATCCCGCACCACACTCAGCTCGGTCACGGTCAACGCGTCGGCGTGCGTGACGACTGGCAGGACGTTTCCGCGCTCGCCGAGTCGCCGGATCTGGCGTCAGCGGGATCAGGCGGAAACGCACGTTTGACATGTCTACCTCGTTCAATTTTGGCTCGATCGGACTTGCAAGCTCCGGGCTAGGTCGGCGGGTATCGTCAAAGATGCCAGCGGAGGACCAGTCTACGCCCAGGGCGAGCTCTGAAGACACCGCGGCATTCGTAGGCGGATGAAGGACCTCTCGCGCGTCGATGAGATAGAGAACTGTCTCAGCGGTGTTTCCACGTTTACTCACTCAGATGCACCAGATCCTCCGCCCCCTTCACCCGTCGCCGAACGATCCGACTTTCCTCCCTGAGCCGCTCCTCAAACCGCTCCTCCACAAGCCGTAGTACCCCCGCAATACCCCTCTCTCGCTCCTTCACCTGCACCGCCTCGGATCCCAGCTCGAGCCCGGGTGTATCGATCAGCCGGAGCTGGACCCACTCGGATTCTGGCGCATCCACGAGCACCGTGGTGGAGGAGAGTCGCGTTGTCGGTGCAAAGGTGGATCTGGCGGTGCCCGGCGAGACTGGTGGGCCAGGGGCAGTTGGCGAGGAGGGAGTGTCGGATTGGGGGTTGCCATGGATGTGCTCCTTGAGCGAGTCCGACAGGAGGTTGATAAAGCTACATGTCAAAATGGCCCAATCGCGTCGGCCTACCTGGTCTTGCCCACACCTTTACCGCCCACAACCACCACGTTGAGCTTGCTCGGCACCTTGCTCTTGCCCCGCCTTCGGACTGACACCCCACGAGCCATCCCAGCCGCATCCGTCGCCGTGCTCTCTCTCCCCCACGTCCTCACCCTACTCTTCCGGAAGTCGCCTGTACCGTCCGTGTCTGCCGCGCTTTTTGCCTCGGCGTTGACCACCTGCCATGGCGTGAACGGCCTATGAAACTGAATGGATGCCTTGACGCCTACCAGCGAGGGCTTGCGGTTGTGTGTGCTCGGAGGCACGGGTATCGTCGTGGTTAGAAACGAAGGGACCTCCTCCCATGATGCCGGGTCGAGGAGCGGGGTTGTTAGATCGGGGAGGGACAGGGAATGCCTGATCGCCGGGGACGATGGTGATGCCTCGGCTCCCTTGCGCCGCTTGAGAAACGACACCATGGCGGCACCCTGGCCAGTAATGAGTAGTGTAGCCAGTTGAGAGCATGATGCATGCCGTTCGACTCGTCGTCGCTGTGTTGTGCATGGCCCCCGTCGTCGAGTGGACTTCTGAAACTGGATTCGTCGCATGGATCTCTCCGTGGCTTTGGCTTTGCGCCCGACCACAGGCACAACCCCAACGAGGCACCGTGTGTTATCCAGTTGAGTCCACGAGGGGTTTGCTTCGGAGGTTCCTTACGAGTGATCTCGTTAGAAGAGGCCGAGAGCAATACTCGGTCGGTGGTCTCCTCCGAAAGCCCATCATGACTGTACGAGTAGCGTAGTGCATAACCCGCCCCCACAGGGATTCGGTTTCGTTCGCTCATTGCGGGATCCCAAACGGACAAGAGCACGTAGTTTGTCTCTGCCAAAGCACATGACTGTAGCATAGTGCATAGCTCGCCCACTCGCCAAAGAATGTATACACCTGTATCCCTGTACCAACTACCCAGACCCAATCTATAATCACGCCGTCACGCCGTGCACGTCAGCTCGGCCTTCTCGACCAGCGCGAGGCCCGCTCCGAGCGCCCAGCCCAGCTCCACCCCACGGAGCTTCTTCTCCACCATGAGCTCCCTCTCCGGTGCCAGCTCGTACCCGAGTCCCAGCAGCGCGTTCATAAAAGTCAGGTCGAGGCAGTATTCCGGCCTGTCCTCGAGCTCGGCCATGGCCTCGGGGTTCTTGCCCCAGCGCTTCTTCCACGAGGCGGGTCCGGCGCAGACATCCTGAGCCATCGAGGTGAGGTCGGCGATGGTGAGTTGGGCCTTGGCCCTGGCTGGGAGGAGGGGTTTGATGCGGTCGGTAAAGTAGGACAGAGCGAGGAAGTTGCCTCGGGGGAAGGTGTCAAGGATAGAGGGTTGATACACCCCGTTGAACGAGCACGGCTTGACCTCGCAGATCGCGTCCTTGGCCATGACCAGTTCGACGACGCGGTTGCACGCCTCGAAACCGCCCGTGGCACCGTGCATCGTCACGTTGACGGCCATGCGTCCGGGAGGGTCCAGCTCGACGCGGCGGGTGGTCCCGCGGGACAAGCAAGGGTTCGGCACCTCGTGGTTCTCGCTGAGGGTGTCCCAGTCGAGTTCGCCCTGGCCAAAGCTCCAAGTGAACGCGACAAGGTTGTGCACGCTGCGCCTGGCACGCATGAGACCGTAGCCGAGGTACGAGTGCTGGTACAGGGTGAACTCCTTGCCGCCGAAGTTGAGCAGGTACTTGTGATCGCCCTCGGCGAGGGTCTGCTTGGACTTTGCCGGGAAAGTGGGCTCGAACACGATTTGCGTCGACGCACCGCCGAGGTCCATCACGGCGAGGGTGTCGGTCGACCTGGCGCCCTCGCCAATCTTGCCGAGGAGATAGTTGGCCGTGATCCACGCGTAGACACCTTCGTCCTTGCCGTCCATGATCTCCACGGCGTTGTCAGAGACGACGTACTTGAACTTTGTGGCGAGTCTGTTGCGAACGGCTTCGAGGATGGCTTCGCTCTCGGTGGCGCCGAGCAGGCGGAGCCCAGCCGTCGCCTTGACCTCGACCGGAGTGCACGACCACATCTCTTGAGGCACGACGCGGTTGGCTTCCTGGAGCAGCGGGTCGAGAGACGCCGCCGCGCCAGCCGGGTCACGGGCGTAGGCCGACAAACCCGGGTTGATGGACATGAACGTCTCGTACTCGAGCTGAGGCGAGGGACCGCAGTTGTGGAATTTGTACACGTGGATGCGGGAGCCCGTCGACCCGGCGTCAATGGTGAG